GGGTCAAAGGGAGGTTACTAGGGCAATAGATACAGGTCGCATACCACTATGAAGACAAGGGCTCTACATGCATGGGGCAGTTGGCAGCTGGATCCAATATCTGCGAGACTACCCATACCAGAGGCGAGGAACAAGTCCCGTGAACTTTTGAACCCATAACACAATCTACTCTGTATACACTCCGGAATGTCGAGGACCTCTTGGACCCCTTCACAGCCGGTACATGCTCCATGTTGATTGGTTGGAACAGGTAATACTGACAGTAGATTGAGTACTTCAGCCAAAGGGTAATGACAGCAACAGGAACTTCAACAGAACACCTTTTATTAGCCTTGCTCCAAGGCTGTACTGAAAGAAAAGTCTATGGATGTGTAGTAATTCCATCTTCCTAATAGGAAGGTCTGGACATGTGGACAGTCTAAGGACTCCGGTCTCTTATACGTGTTTTTTTAATTTACATCATCTAGAACTACTGATTAAACTAATAATTAATGCCGTAGAGACTTGTGCAAGTCTAACCCTTCATACAGATGTCTCTGCTTCCATCATCCCCATCACATACGAAAACGAACAATTTTATGGATAACAACTTCTGGTTTACTGCATACAGGGATGTTTCAATGTAGATTCTTGCACCGTTATCAAGCTGGAGTGAAAACAACCAAATCTAGGAAGTCACTTGATTGTTGTCACTCCAGCTTGTTGATGATCGATGTGAGAATCGACATTGAAACGTCCCTGTATGCCATAACCAGAAGTTGTTATCTATAAAATTGTACATTTTCTTACTTCCTCACCAACTTCTTGAATGTCAATCAAACAGTTATCTCCATCACAAACCACGGAGAGGCAATATCTGCAATATGGAGTGAGTGGGGTGTTTAAGCCTCTTTGAACAATATTTCAGTTGTATTTCAGCTCCATGTGAGTGGCAAGCCCAAAGTGATGCAGGTCTTACATGTGATTCATGCTGGTGAAAGATAAGCACAGATAAGGTGCTGATAAACTGGTAAATCTGAGATCAGATCTCGGGATCATAAAATCCTGGTACACCTAAGGGATGCAACTCTGCACAGTGACTGATTGCTTCTTGGAAGACCACCAGTGTCCATGAACCAGTTGTAAGAGCTTATTAAACTGTGGATTAGGTGGCAATCATTGCTTCTACATTGGAAACATATGGGCTTACGCCCACCAGTAGCCTGTTTGTCATCATTCAGACTGCTGATCACGAGCTGTTTCACACCACAATCAAAACTGTCTGCAGGGTGGCTGGCCGCAGTGAAAATCCAACGAGCAAATACAAAATTCTCACTGTGGATTTTTTCTCACAGTTTGATAAATTGGATAATTTTTCTTTTCTATTCTTAAATGCATTCCAAAATAACTGACGGCTAACTTGGGTATCCGGGTCGGGTGGGTACTGTGTTGGACCCAGGTACCCACAGGTCTACCCGGACCCCGGGTAGGGTGGGGTAATAGCGGGGTGGGTACCCAGGTAGTAAATTTGGACTCGTCCCAACCCTATATTCCAAATATACCTAGTATTTTGATGAAAGGGTTGAACTCCATCACTCATGTGCATCTACATGTAATTAATTTACGCTGTAATCATTCAAGAAGGAAAGAGGGGTTCATTCTCACTACATCAAAAATTTGTCGTCACAGGACAAAGATGAAATAATTAAAACTGTTTCAAGTAAGAAATGACACAAAGCCTCCATGAGATAGCACACACATTCGACAACATCAAAGGAACCTAATCCTCAATTTGGCCACAAGGGAAGTTCAAGGTCACTGAGGTCATGCTATCCACACTTTTACTGCTGCGTGTGCCACTTGAATATTGGATTGACACGGTCAACTGGACAGTTAGTTATTGACCGGCAATAACTCCAATCATAGGCACAAGCATGATCAATACTTCAGAATGACCATTATTACAGCGGTCATGGCTGCTACTTAATGCCCTTATCTAAATCAACTTGGAAGCATCACATGAACTTTCAACAACCAGTTCACTTGACTGTGTACTCTTAAGGCAGTATTGGAGCAGGTCTCTTGAATCTTGGACAAGAGAGGCTTTAATGCAGCATTGAATTTACAAATCTTTGGAATTCAAAATTTATCAGTTAAGATGAACAAACGATGAATGATGTTTTCACATTTAAGGATCTCAAAATCAACATCATCTACACACCATGTCTTCAACCTGATAGTTCTACATGTTTACCACTACGGTGAAACCTACGAACATGATGCTGTTGTAGACAATGTTTAGATATGAATATATTTATCTTTACGACAACTATTGTGACTTACCAATACAATATCTTCACTAAGTAAACGCTGCCAGCAACCTGACGATATTTATAAATCTTTACGTACCTTGAATGAAAATAATATGTAATATCTCAATACATAATGTACTTTATGCATATCTACCTTTCATGTCTTGATTATATCTATTCCCATATTTAGATAGTTTCTACCCAGCCACATGAGGATGTTTTGTACAATAATATTCTTGATTCTTGACGCCCGTGAAGATCCGGGGTAGAATAGGTCTTTAGCAACCCATGCTTGCCATAAACAGGCGACTAACGGGATCGGGTGATCAGGCTTGCTGACTTGGTTGATGCATGTCATCGATCCCATTTGCGTGGATCGATGCTCATGATATTAATCACTTGATTGTCTGGTCCAGACTCGATTATTTACAGACTGCCGTCATATAGCTGGAATATTGCTGAGTGCGGTGTTAAAAGAAACAAACCAAAAAAAACTCCCAAAACTTGATTCTTGATCCAGATCCTATTCAGGAGAAATACTGGCACCGATCCTGGCACATTATCATGGTGCTACTCTGCACCATAAATGGCAGCATCTCAGACCAACGATGCCTTAGCTTTAAAGGATGATCTCAGAAGACTGACACTCAGAAATGGAAAACATGAGAACAAAGAAGTACAGTGCAGATGTCATGAGAGCAACTGTCATGTCATCCATATGAACTTGACACATAGTGTCACAGAAGCAATGTCGTTAATTATTTCCCAGGTGCATCTGCACAGGTAATGACAGCCTGACATTGATGCTCTCACACATAACAGCAGGCACAATACAGATCTCCTGTACCACACAATTCAGTCCATACTCTGCGATAAATTGCTTCCATGGCAACATTAATAACTGAAGATAACGTAACATCATATCACAAACTCAAAATCAAGAAAATATTTCACTACAGTTGTAAGATTATAAAAAAAACCTGTAAAAAACTACCCTACCAAAGACTGACAAAGTTATTCCACGCCCTAAAGATGGAGACCACAAGCAAAGCTACAAAAGATGGCAGACTACTTCAAGCTGTCTTAATTTCGAGCATTCACTAGGAAAAAAAAGTCTGAAAGAATTTTTGCCTTGGTGAAACTAAAGTTAAGAAAAATTAAATTCAAATGACAAAATTGATTTCATTCACATCACATTCTTTAAATATTACACACAAATTTCGATGAAAACCATCTAAGTCCGAGCAAATCAATTAGGAAAATTCAGTGAATAAGCTTGATGCTTAATAGTCATTGTCAGTTGTAAGGATGAATGGGTGGATGTACATATAATCTGCATGGTTAAAGAGGGCATGGAACATAGGAAATCAATACCGTGGACATACGCGTTATATACACTGGCTGGCCGTGTGTGTAAGTGAGGCCAACAGCTGGAGTGGTCAGTAGAGACAGGTGGGGGGACTGAAAGGTGATGCTGGGGTGAAGAGTTCATCACTTGTCACAGAGACAAGCAGAATGTATCAGCAATTGATTACAGCCTCAGGTAATATTTTGTAATAGCATTATCAATCACATCAGTCTGCCCTCACACTGGATAATAGCTGCTGCTCACACCTGTCAAGATTGGAAGAGGTGGAGTAGTGTGAGGTGAGGTGAGGTGAGGTGAGGTGAGGTGGGGTGTGATAGGAAGAGGTGGAGTAGTGTGAGGTGAGGTGGGGTGAGGTAAGTTGGGGTGTGATAGGATGAGGTGGAGTAGTGTGAGGTGAGGTGAGGTGGGGTGTGATAGGAAGAGGTGGAGTAGTGTGAGGTGAGGTGGGGTGGGATGTGATAGGAAGAGGTGGAGTAGTGAGAGGTGGTGAGGTGGGGTGGGGTGTGATAGGAAGAGGTGGAATAGTGTGAGGTGAGGTGAGGTGGGGTGTGATAGGAAGAGGTGGAGTAGTATGAGGTGAGGTGAGGTGGGGTGTGATAGGAAGAGTTGGAGTAGTATGAGGTGAGGTGAGGTGGGGTGTGATAGGAAGAGGTGGTAGTGTGAGGTGAGGTGAGGTGGGGTGTGATAGGAAGAGGTGGAGTAGTATGAGGTGAGGTGAGGTGGGTTGTGATAGGAAGAGGTGGATTAGTGTGGGATGGGGAGGGGATGGGGTGGTGGTCCTCAAGTGGGTTAGTGTGATGGTGCAGTGACAGACAACAATCTTTGTTTGATGGAACTTAGGGAAGAGATAGTTCTAACCCTGGCCCCTAAGGGAAGAGATAGTTCTAGCCCTGGCCCCTAAGGGAAGAGATAGTTCTAACCCTGTCCCTAAGGGAAGAGATAGTTCTAACCCAGCCCCTAAGGGAAGAGATAGTTCTTACCCTGGCCATAAGGGAAGAGATAGTTCTAACCCTTGCCCCTAAGGAGAGAGATAGTTCTAACCCAGCCCCTAAGGGAAGAGATAGTTCTAACCCTGGCCCTAAGGGAAGAGATAGTTCTAACCCTGGCCCCTAGGGAGAGTGATAGTTCTAACCCAGCCCCTAAGGGAACAGACAATTCTAACCCTGGCCCCTAAGGGAAGAAATAGTTCTAACCCTGGACCTAAGGGAAGAAATAGTTCTAACCCTGGCCCTAAGGGAAGAGATAGTTCTAACCCTGGCCCTAAGGGAAGAAATAGTTCTAACCCTGGCCCTAAGGGAAGAGATATGGGCAAGTGAAAGCAGCTGACTGTCTATACTTACAGTTAATGCACAAGACTGGCTTCACGAAGTAGACATCAGCCAGACGATGGGGGATCTTGGGAGGACCTGAAACAAAATCAAATGTGGTTTCAACAAACGAGCACGTTCAATGTCAGAGTACGTCTGACTGTTGCCAAATGCAGGTTTGAGACACCTACAGCCATAACCTTTTTAATATTAATTCTCACAGAACGGACAAAACCAGACAAATATATCTTCAAAGCACAGGCATTATCTACATCTGTGCCTTGAATATTACAGTTCAGATTCACAGACAGATTGTTCCCCTAACCTATGTAAATCAACACCTGAACATAAATAAGTCATAAGTCACCTATATATGAAGTGTCGTCACCACATTATAAAACCTATACCAGAAACATTCATGAAATAGGTCAACCGGGCATATAGAAATGTACTCTACTTGTATGCATGGCTTTAAGTTGTAATGGCAAATAGTCGATAGAGGATTAATAATAGCTGGACAATCATCCAGTATTTCCATTAACTATGGTTATTGAAGAGTCTGGCAGCACTGTTAATGAGGCCAGATATAGAACAACTTGGGTCGGGCTGAGGGAATGAACCCACAGACCGACCAGATAAAAATAGAACAGATCAATATATGTAAATGGAGCCCACTTTACTGGCTCAGTTCAGACAAGAAATTCATCTTGGAGAAGTATGGCAGAACTGTTGAAAGTAGGGAATATTACTTGACACGTTCACATCGTTAATCGTGAATTTGTACCTGGCACTTGGTGTATCTGCCACACTCATCACCATGCAGGTTCTAAGGGGTTTGTCAGTGGTACATGATGGGCTAGCTTAGACCGATGCCATCTCACAAGAAGCCGGTCACATTTCTAGGTCATCTTTAGAGTAGGGATTAGGGTAAATTATTCTTAAAACCAATCAAGAACATTATTATACCTTGCTAAATCCTATACAGTGACATCCATCCAAAAGTCTGCATCTGATGTTTTATTCTATACACAAGATGGAGATTGTTACACTAGTGCAGCTTTGTTCAGTCCCATCCAAAGCCCAAACTCAGCATTTGAACCAGAACATTTTTGTATATTCAATTTGAAAAAAGATAATTATGTACAATAGGCACAAGTAAACTCTGGCCATTTACAAAGAACTGCCACATGAAAAATAAAACTAAAAAACATAAAATATTCACAAAGTCAACTTAAAAAGAACAGATAAAGCTGAGTATTAACATGACCTAAATATTGATATAAATATGACCTAAAGATAGGCATTAACATGGCCAAAAGATAGATATGAACATGACCCAAAGATAGGTATTAAAATGACCTAAATGTAAGTATTAACATGGCCTAAGTGTAGGTATTAACATGACATAAATGTAGGTATTAACATGGCCTAAATGTAGGTATTAATATGACATAAATGTAGGTATTAACATGGCCTAATTATAGGTATTAACATGACCTAAATTTAGATATTAACATGATGTTAATGTAGGTATTAACATGACCTAAATGTAGGTATTTACATGACCTAAATGTAAGTATTAACATGGCCTAACTGTAAGTATTAACATGGCCTAAATGTAGGTATTAATATGACATAAATGTAGGTATTAACATGGCCTAACTATAGGTATTAACATGACCTTAATTTAGATACCAACATGACGTTAATGTAGGTATTAACATGACCTAAATGTAGGTATTTACATGACCTAAATGTAAGTATTAACATGACCTAACTGTAAGTATTAACATGGCCTAAATGTAGGTATTAACATGGCCTAAATGTAGGTATTAACATGACCTAAATGTAGGTATTAACATGGCCTAAATGTAGGTATTAACATGACCTAAATGTAGGTATTAACATGACCTGAAGATAAATATTAACTCTCACTCACACTGATGTCAATGAGATATTAATGATTTGTCAATATGAAAATAAACTTGGAAATGTCAGCTTTACAAGCTATCAAGATGTCCCCAATTTTGCTGACTAAGTATATCTCAAATCCCTTTCTTCCAAGCATCTTGGCTTCTGTCCATCCGCCAAACCTAATCCCCACAGACAAGATCAACCATTGTCTAACTATGCCCTATCCTCAATGTCAATCAAGCTGACCTCATTTCTTTTCTTCAAATGAATCGAATGGTTTGCGAAAAAAACTTCCACAAATTGATTTTTCTATTTCCAGAAAGGACTACAATGGCATAGAGGCTTGTAGCCGTGCCACCAGCTCGAATTATCTGTGGCAAATATCACAAGTGGAGACTCCTCTGTACTTCACACGACTTCTTTACATATAAAAGATTAATCGCTGGAATCCTTGCATAGATCAAAGGGCCAACACACTTTGGACTTGTCACCTAACTGAAAAGAGCACTCGTCAGAGAACGGGTCCCTGTGTCATATTCTTCACTATTTGACTATTTCACATTAGATAGATTATCATATCAGTCAAATTTCTAAAATTTTGGATTCCAAAGACTAAATATTGAATAACTGACTGCACATTAGTTACGCACGGCAATGACGTAATGACACTTGTCTTCAACCAGGTTCCACCAGAATATCTACATTCCCACTGCTGGTATATTCACAGAACCAACATCACACTTTCCAAATACCTATTTTCCATGGCAACTGTGACATCAACACACCTACTGTTGATAGTCTTTCTCAACGAAATGAGACAATTTTTACGTCATAATTGGCCTTATGCCCATTCCCATACAATGGTTCTCTCTTACATCTGAAACTTTTATTGATGAAACACCAAGGAAAGACCACGGAGAAGAGTCTTCAATTAAAACCACACCTTCAACTGTCTAGGTTATGAATACTTGGAATTCATCTATCGCCCACCATCAGTAAGATATATCTAGTGAACTTATATATAACATTTGGAGAAGTTGTTTTTCTCTTCTTGAAAAGAGAGTATTTAATCTGGCGTAAGGAATATCACAATGACCAGACAATCAAGTTTGGGCCAGTGGTGAATAGTGACACGGCTGGGATAACCCAGACCTTCTGCACTCCAGGTGGACGCTCTACCACTAGACCACGGAGGTGGTCAATTATGTCCCAAAGAGTCATTGCAAGAAGACATGATAAGGCCATTTAATTTCTTAGTCCATACCCGACTGAACCTCCAAACACTGTCTGACTCAAATATTGTCAAGAATGTGATCCTGAAGAAAACATATTTTAGAACTCACAAGATTCACAACTGTAATATTTTAACATACAAATAAAACTTGAAAGGTGTTCTTGAAATGATGAGACACAAAAGAAATTCATTTTACGCCAACAAAGAGCGTTGCATGGCCACTGCAATATGGGGCGACAGGCTAGCTTAGTGGATAAAGTGTGCGCTTGTCAATCTAAAGGCCGATTCTGACTCTAGTGTTCCTTGCGATATTGCTGGAATATTGCTGAAAGCGGCACAAAACCCAACTCACTCCAACGTAAGCAATTAACTCAGAAAAAAACCCTTTAAGGTTAAATGATAAATCAAACAACAGTACTGACATGTTATGATGAACAAGAGTTTTATAACTTGTTGTTCCACACTCTGCCACCAATCATGCCAACTCCAGGGCATGGGCCGCCACTATCAGCTGTGATTAGAAATCAAATCAGGTACACCTCGATTCTGAGGCCTACTTGTAGCCAAAGGTACAGGTCACAGATATGTGTGCTACCTGAATTTGGATACCAGCCAACGAACACACTAGGTCACAGGGCACCCGACCGACCTGCAAAGCCACTCCAACAAATCTCCACCGCCTACATTTTCAACAATGGGCCGTTTCTCAAGTACCAGTTTTGTCGACTTAATTTTGCATTACGTTTTGGAACAAGAAAAATACTCCACATTATTACTCAACACTCAGCCTTGGTTATTGAGTGGAGATAGTGCTGTTCATTTGTGCTTTCTTAAACTTTGAAGGTATTCAGCTGGATTTGTAAGCCGTATTTTCCTCGTGCGTGTACCTTTTTCATTGTTGAACAATTCTCATTACCAAGTTACATGCAGTGTCATATCACAAATGTAATACCTCGGCCACGCAGGGCGCCATCCCCATTTTAACGACAAAAGACTCACTTCAACACTACTGCAAAGCCTTTGAAAGTTGACTTTGGAAATAAAGTTATCCTTTATTCATAGACCATTTTTATTTCCATACCATCACAGCTGAATTCTTTGTCCCCTACCTTATGACCATAACTGTACTCCTTTAAAACCCATTACCTACCTACAAGTGGTTCTCAAAGGATATCCATCTTGACAGTGAAAAGGTTCACAAACAAACACTAGACGTATGTCATATTTACAAGATGTATACAAATGCAGTGGTGTATACATTCTAGGTTTCAAAGGGAAATTTCTTTTTGTTCATTATACCAATGGCTTACTACGTGTGGGTAGTAGGGAACATAGCCCAGTGGTTAAAGCGTTAGCTTGTAATACCGAAGGTCCAGGTTTGATTCCCCAAATGGATTCAATATGTCAATATCATTTTTGATGGAATATTGCTAAAAGGAATGTAAAACCAACTCACTCACCTGACATATTCATATTGGAAAAGCATGAAATATACAAAAGTCAAAAGGATCGGCTGATTCCTGCCAGGTGAGGGTATCCACAAAAGTATTTATGTCTACAGACATAATTCAAGAGACACAGCTATCTCACCCATGTCACTGCTGCTGTTATTGTCACAACCACATCAAGCATTACTCCAAGCGATCTACGATATAGTCTACACAGAGAGTTGTCTCCCCTAGCTGTAAGGATCCTCTGCCGGTGGGTTTAAATCCCAGATTCACCTAAATATGTTTTGGCCTGTCAGCACCATACGTTAGGTTTCAACAAGGCTTCAACGTTTGAGGGCTGTGCCACTTGGAGATTGTGTTGTGATACAACAGAAATGCTGTTCACAGCGATATTCGACTCAAAGTCCAAAGATTGAATAGGCAAGTCCTAAGATGTTATTCACAGAGTCTATGAAGAAGCCTTGGTAAATCTTGGGTGAGACGAGGTAACACATACATCA